TATATATATATATATTAGTGTATATGTGCATGTGTGTAGTATTGCAATTTTAATAGCTAGCAATGTATATTATCTTATTATAATTCTTATTGTAAAAATTATATTTTTTATATTATATTGCATATTTTTTTGGAATTATATTTGATAAATGTATATAAATGTTTATAATAAAGAAAATACAATTTGATTGAAAACTGTTTTTTAATTTGACAATATGCACAGATAATAAAAAGATCGAAATCAATCGAAATGAGTCGAGACGATTAAAATTCGGACAATCAGGATTGATAATTGAAGCTTAAATTTTGATTGATTCTAGTCATCTTATAGATTAAAAAAATGATTTTGTATGATTTCAGAAAGATTTCAATGAGATAAGTATGATGAGTATAATATAAACTATTAAAAAATAATGATCTGATAATTTTTTATTCGTATATGTATATATACAAAGGGCGTTCACGAAACAGCTGACGAAGCTCCACAATAACCTATGTGTAGAGGGAATTTGTGTTCCATCATAACCAATGACGTGGATATAGGTTAAGTTTTTCTACGCTCATATGTATGCAGCGCATGCAAACAAATAAAATCAGTTGTATCAGGCACGTTTTTCACGAAAAACAATTTGTAAATAATGTTCGAAATCACGGACACACAGAGTGAGTGCAAAAATTTACGAACCAATATTGATCGATTTGTAACAATAACCAGCGAATATCTGAAACAACAATTAAATGCTGTTGATTTTATTATAAGGAATGTGTTTCAGAAATCGGGGTCGGATTGGCAGGATTTGGTATTTCTTTCCTATTCCTTGGTGTACTATTACTCTTCGATAAGGGTTTACTTGCTATTGGAAATGTAAGATTATACTCTTGCTATTTGTTTGTACAAATCCTACAGTTAGATTGACTTCTTTCTAAATTGTTCTTTATAGCTATTGTTTATATCGGGACTCGCGTGTGTAATCGGGCCATGGAGAACTTTAAATTTTTTCTTTCAAAGACATAAAATAAAAGCCAGTGCCTCATTCCTAGGAGGCGTTTTTGTAGTACTTATGGGCTGGCCTCTTGTGGGAATGATTTTAGAAACTTATGGTTTCGTATTGCTATTTAGGTAAGTGTGATACATTTTAATAAATTTGACACTACACTATACAAGAGTTATTTCTGTAAAAATATAATTTATTATTTTTTTTTTTATTCCAGTGGCTTTCTACCAGTAGCAATAAATTTCCTACGAAGGGTACCTCTATTGGGAACTGTATTGAATATGCCTGGTATCAGTCGAATTTTGGACATAATAGCAGGTGATTCCAATAGGACAACTGTATGATAATTATATAATTTATGTTAACTTTAAAGATATCAATACATTTTTGTTTAAAACTTGTATATAAAACAATCATATATATCATGTTCCATATTCTTTTTCTGTCACTCCTGTTTTAGGATGTCAGTTGTCAGATAGAAATTTTTGTACAAAAACAAAAGTATATACATATATATAAAATTTACCTCCTATAAATGTAAGACAATATCAGTAAGCATATAGTATAATTGATTTGTATATTTCTAGTTTACATAAATATAACTTGTATATGCTGTCCGATTACGTTAAGAGTGTGCTTAATTACATATATGTAAAGCATTCCATAAAGTTTTATACAAAAGAAAGTGACGATCTAATTTTTTTTATCTAATTACTCAATAAATCAGTAAATAATTGCCAAAAGCACATACTCTTTCCTTGATCAGATGATAAATGTTTTGAGACAAAATAATACATAAACGTGTTTAATGTATCATATATCAATAAGATGTTTTATATATCAAAATTGAGAAAAATTATATTCAATATATATAAAATCCTTTTTCAAATTTTCAAAATGGAAAAGAAATTGACAAAAATATTAAGAACATGTTGGATCATTTAAGCTAACTGAAATTAATAACTGATAAAAACAAGATATTTAACATAAATAATAACTTAAAAAATTTTTTATTTTTACTAAAATAATTAAATTAGCTAAATAATTCGATTTAGATATATTGTATGAAAAGAAAGAGAAGACTTTAAATGCAGTTTTCAAATAAATTTTTGTTATTGACAGGGTAAAATAAAAATTTCCGAATGTATGAAATTTTATATCGTTTTTATTGATTTGCTGCTTTCCCTGCATGCATCCTAACATGAACAGATTAGATGCATGCATTCTGAGTAACCGTTCTTCATCTTATACATAATTGTCTGGAGTGCGAAATTAAATTATCGTCCATCAAAATTTAATGGACTGGCTGATACCATTAAAATGATATTTTATTAATTATGAATTATGAATTATCTACAACGGGCCGAGAATAAGGGCGGGGGGCGGCCCAGGCTACACGCCCCGCCATCGTCGTGATATTTCGTCGCGTGTCCCCCTCTCTCATCGATTTCGCGTGCGCTGACTCGATTCTCTAGGAAATTATTACTTTCAATACTTAATATCCTGACCGGTCTATTTATTTCAACGCGCATGTGTGGAACGTTTTCCAGGTAACAGGTGTTCGCGATACCTCCGCGATTATATTTGTCTCTTCGTCATTTTTACGATAATAGAATATGAAAATACGCGTAATGTCAACCGCTGCAAGAAAATACTGAATCCGGCAATAAGTTAAGCAGATTCTCTTCTATTTTTTTACGTTTACAATTTTTGCCGAGTTTCATGCATTTTACGAGCTGCTACGTCGAACGTCCTCGGCCTGAATTACTTGTTCATGTTACCGACAGCAAGTGTTCTGTCTCTGGGAATCGCTATCAAATCGGATGGTATGGATAATAATGACGATGTTTGTGATTGTGAAAGTAATGAGACGAGGATCGTTTTAGCGCTTTAAAGAAGATTCTTGATCTCATCATACAACACGAGTACGAGCGCACCGCCGGTACCACGGAGAACGTTGGAGAATGCGCCCTTGAAGAAAGCATTGCCACCCTCCGTTTTGTAAATAGTGGACCAACAGTGGAGAGTGTTTTTATACAGAATATCAGTCTTGGCACGGCCAGACTGCATCATCATACGTCTACGTACTGTATCAAAGGGATAGGACACAATACCCGCTACAGTAGTTACGGTCTGCAACAGATTTTAATGAATAAGCGAGACAGTTCGATGAAACTGCACGAGTCTACATGAAGAACAAAATTAGTTGTCTTCTTACCTGGGCAATACCCCATGAGACAAGGAATGGAGTATTCTTGGGGTCTGGCAACATACCACGGGCAGTGTCATAGAAACCAAAGTAAGACGCACGGTAAATAATGATACCCTGCACTGAGACGCCAAAGCCACGGTATAGACCGGTGAGCCCGTCAGTTTTGAAGATCTTAGTTAAGCAGTTTCCCAATCCTGAAAACTCACGTCCGCCACCAGCCTTGCCTACATCAGCAGCCAACCTAGTATGTGACAATGAAACAGTAATTTTTAGTATCAATATGAATTTTTAGAATCTTGAATTGCTAGAAAATATACAAATTTATCTATTAAAACAAATTAATAATATTGATTTTTTATGACATTTTACTCTGATATAATTTACTTACATAAATATACAAAAGCTATATTATTTTTCATTAATTAAATATTCAAATTTAAATTTAAAAAAAAAAAAGAAAAAAAAAGAAAAACAGATAAAATTAAATTTATACAATTCACCTCTCTAAATTACTAATTACCTATTGATTAATAATAATTTTTGTGTTAGTGTGTTGATACAACTTAAAATGCATTGAGTAATTTACCTAGTTCTGGCAAAGTCAAGTGGGTAGACAAAGCACAAAGATGTAGCTCCTGCAGCACCACCAGATGCGAGATTCCCAAGGAAATAACGCATAAACTGAGTGTTCTTATCAACACCACCAAGGAAAACCTGCTTATACTTGTCTTTAAAAGCAAAGTTCAAAGCCTGCGTTGGGAAATATCTGATCACATTGGCAAAATTACCACGCCAGTAACTAAGGAATCCTTGTTCTTTTGGGATGCGAACAAAACAATCGATCATACCTAAAGAAAAAGAGAATAATATATAATATACATATATATATATAACACATAATGTAAAAATGAACACATACATATACGAAATTTATATTTTAGTTTTTAACTTTCACATTATTTAAATGTTTCAGAGATTAGAAAATAAAAATGTTTGCACGAGAGATTTTTGTATATAATATTAAAATTTAATACAATTTTACCGGCACTAAAAATTGACGAATAGTCAATATTTTAGCTATATACATATAATAAATAATTAACAATTAAAACGATTGCAGCGAATCGATAAGTAGTTCTAGTTATGGTTTTCTCCATCGAACAATTTCATTCAATAATCGCAATTGTTTAATGTACCGATTAAATTGTACCGCGGATTTCACGGATAATGACATTTTTCTAAGTATTTTTCTTTTTTCATAAATCGAGACGAGATCGTCTCGATAACGCGTCTTCTGCTCGGCATGGATGAATCAGCTTAAGACTTTAATGGACGGCATGAATTCGTGACGCGTGGAAGTAGACAGAAGAATCCGGTCTCGTGGTCGACGAAAGGGCGGCCATGTTGGACCGCACCGTCATCGATCGGGGTTAAGAGAACGAAGGAGAGAAGCCACGCGCTGCCATCTGGCTTGGGACGATGCGTTTCATTGAAATATCGATCCATCGTGAGGATGAAGAGTATCTATATGCGATCGGCCTCGGCGTGGCCGACGTAAGTTATGTAAGTCACCGAAATTTCGGCTCGACCTTCGTTACATAAATGTGAGAAATTTCTCGACGCGATATATACTCTCGCGAGGCTATCGCGCGCGGGACACGCGAGGCATCCGTTGCTGCCTCTAACGGCATTACATAATGGCCATATCATCTCTTCCCTCCTCTATCGAGTAACGCTGTAACTTGTTCGTGTTTGCACACCCTGGGAACAATGGCACGTTCGAGATTACTGGCTACTGTCACATGTTCCGTGGGGTTGCCATTCATGCCATTCCGCCATGCCGCATTAAAGGTACCGGGTTCTCCGGAGACGATTTCACGCGATATGGCCATGCCTCGTCCCTCTCGCATTACTCTTGCCTTGACGTTACCGTGTGCGTGAGACACGGCCAGTACTTTTCGCACGATTCTCTAGGACACGGGACAAGAAGAAAAAAAAAAGAGATATATATAGACACAGACACACTTACCCTTGTAACGCTGATCCTCGGCTATCTGCTTGGAGATGTGCTGTACCTGCAGCAACAATTTGACGCGCTCGATGGGCGCGACGGCAGTCTTGGAAATCGCCGCGGCCACACCGCCGGCGATAAAATCCTTTGCGAACGCCACGGGATCCGCGAGACCAGACATCGTGAGGTGTTGGGTGCGTGTGTGTCGGTGAGATACGGGTAACGTAAAGGATAGAGAGAGAGAGGAGAAACCCCTGATGTCTAAACGTTTCGGACGCGCGCCGGACGACGAGTGAGCGAGGCAGAGATCGCTCGTCATGAGCGAACGGACCCCCTTCGCTAAGAATAGCCGCGCATGTCACGTGTATCTATCTGCGCAACTACGAAATCGCTACCGCACGTCATCGCGCGTACCGCGTCTCGGGATCGTGACACAAGCCGCCGTGACACTCGGGATAAGCTTCCGCCCGAATTCGCAACCTTTATCTTTTCACGGTCGATCTTTTGGCGATACGCCGCGTTACCTTTCACGTCCGCCCGATCTTTCGCGACCCGCGCAAATTTCGCGTTCGAAAGCCGCCCGTTCTCGCGCCGCGACGACGTCCCGTCCGGCCATGACCGGCCTATCGCGGCCCCGTCATCGGTGTCGCGGGTATTCGAAATTTCGAACTTCCTCCGATGGCGGGAAAATTGACTTTGGAATGCGCGCAATAAAATCGCGATTTATCGCTTCTTCAATTGTTTCTTTCGATTAACAAAATATTATTAAAAGTATATAGATATATATGCGGGAAAAGTAATGAGGATTGAAAAGAAAGAATATTTTGTTGAATAATTGTATAATATAATGTAACGACGTTAACGATGAACACTTGAAGATTAATCTAATGAGTATGTCAATTGAAAGGGCTAATAAAAATTAACCATTTTTAGCAATTATAACAGATAGACCTCGGTGATAGCTTCTCTCGTATTCTTGACAAGTTAATTTATAATCATTAGTTTTGCACAATCTAAGTAGAGTACATTATTAGATAACTATTAGAGTAAGAATTTTAGTACAACTTTTATATGTATATATCGTTTGAAGTATAATATATAAACTTTAGATATTATATTAAAAAAATTAAATTTGATATTTATTTTCTATTTATTGATTAGCAAGATTCCAAAAGTTTGAATTTGTATCGATTCATTGTTGCCAATTTATAAATGATAACCAATTACGACCACGTGATTGCGTGAAGTTGCACGAGTATCCCGAATCTTCACCTTTTTTCAGGGCATAAGCTGCTGGTATTTTAGTCCTTTAAAGTGACCGCGGACGAGCTTGCGCGTTCCTGTCAAGAACAAAAACGAAATGCAAGGTCAATTCTCTCCGAAGAAGGAGGTCAACGGGACGCGTCTCTTGCGTAATCCTGGCTTACGGCCATCGCGTTGCGGAGGATCGCGCCAGGGTTCAATGGGGTAACGTCAAAAAAGCAGAGTGTATTTATACATTCGTGAGAAAAGCGCGCGCGCGCGATCCTAAAATCAGCTGTGTCTCGCCTACACGCACGTGATGTACCACACGCTCGTGTCGATACCGATTACGAAGCGTTTCTTTGACTCGTGCACATATCACCAACAGCGATACATTTTCTCTCTGTATGCGTTGGAGAACAAATCACGGATAGATACGACTACTTTGATCTTTCAATCCGAGCTTGATTTGAGCGTAACACCTTGATACAATTCAAATTATACTTGACATTGGCCTTACAATTAAATTTAGAATAGAATCTACGAAACGATTGAGATAGAAAAGACGCTTCAAGTGTAGATTCCTTGATGAATTTAGAGTCGATTTTTAATCTTAATTAAATGTTGAAGGTTAGCATTTTTTAGCATTTGTTGTGACTCACTAATTTTCAAAGATTGGATTTTTCGGCGAACAAAAAATAATCTACAAATAAAACAAAATAAAATTGATTTAAATAAAATTAATTGAAAATACAATATATTGCCATTAATTTATACTTGTATGCTTATTATCTGTTACAGTCTCATTAGCAGTCCTTTGGATATCTAACAATGATCAGATGTATATCTTGCACATTTTCAGCTTATTGTTAGCGTCGAATAATTTATTTTTATCAGTATTGTGAGATAAACACCACATTCTGGATGATAAAGAACACGGAATGAGAAAGCATATATAATAAATAATTATAATATTGCTAGATAAATACACTATGTATTTTAAATAAATAAACTATATATTTTCTTTCAATTAGTTAGATTTTTAATCTCAAAGATTTTACAATCATTGACAGTATTCCAATCTTTAAGAATTTGGAAGATTATGCTGCACAATATATATTATACAAAATATAAATTATACAAAAATAAGATATTCATTTATAAGAAATATCTTATTCTAATATGATAATTTTATTAAAATCATCTAAATCATATCTACATAAGATTTTGGCAAATAGTATGATGTGCGTTTATTTTCTCATATAATTATTAGCTTTATGCCAAAGGCTAAAGTAACGCATATTTTCTGTCAAAATTATTACTATATAGAAAATTCTTTAATTTCAATTTGGAAATTACATTATTGACAAAATATTTTACAATTCTTTTAAAAGAAAATAAGCTTTTCTGTACAATTAAGAATTTTCCAACATGTTCAGCTATTCATTACAATACGATATAAGCCTATCTGATGAGATAAGACAGATGAGGAAGCCGCACGATAAGTATGAAAGATTTCAATGAAATTTTCTGCGATATTAATAATTTTCTTTCAACAATTAGTTAGATTTTTAATCTCAAAGATTTTACAATCATTGACAGTATTCCAATCTTTAAGAATTTGGAAGATTATGCTGCACAATATATATTATACAAAATATAAATTATACAAAAATAAGATATTCATTTATAAGAAATATCTTATTCTAATATGATAATTTTATTAAAATCATCTAAATCATATCTACATAAGATTTTGGCAAATAGTATGATGTGCGTTTATTTTCTCATATAATTATTAGCTTTATGCCAAAGGCTAAAGTAACGCATATTTTCTGTCAAAATTATTACTATATAGAAAATTCTTTAATTTCAATTTGGAAATTACATTATTGACAAAATATTTTACAATTCTTTTAAAAGAAAATAAGCTTTTCTGTACAATTAAGAATTTTCCAACATGTTCAGCTATTCATTACAATACGATATAAGCCTATCTGATGAGATAAGACAGATGAGGAAGCCGCACGATAAGTATGAAAGATTTCAATGAAATTTTCTGCGATATTAATACATATAATTCGTAAAAATATACGACAAACCACGTGCCGACGTTATCAACTCGGGCTCATTAGAGGTCGGACCCGGGCTCGGGGACTCGAATGTCGCGTATTGGATTAAGTGACGACCTTGAGATAGACTGCCATGCTTTGCGACTGCGAAACCGTCGTAACCGTGCCTGATTTTTCGATGAACGATCAATGCACCTGAAAAAGCGTTCCTAGCCAGTTTTGTTATCATTGCGAGTCATATATGTGATTGCAAAACGCGTCTCACTTGGACGGCACGTGATACTGAAAAACGAAAAAATTCATTGTCGTCATAAGCTTCGACTTCGTGAGCGTAATATAATCAGGAGCGATTACTGCCTCCTCTAAAGTAACAATATTTTGCGATTTATTGACGTTGCTCATAACGGCTCGTATTTTCATTATATAAGCCACGGTGAATCTTTATATTAACTCGAAACCAATAATATATTAAATTTAAAAAATTGATAAATTCTAATTTAATTAATTTTACTAATTCTTATTTAATAATAATTGAACAATCTATTATATATATACACACAGTACTAAAATATAATCAATGTGGATTTGAAAGTTTGGAGTAATTGTTTCACGATATTGTTTTGTGAGATGGACCGATCGGTTGCAATCGATTTGCTGGCTGTCCCTGATAAGCTATATGTATGTGTGAATATCTAAATAGAAATATATAAATGCACTGCCTTTATGTAATGTTTCGTTATTTCGTACATCAATTATATACCGACATAAACAATTTTGCTATGAGTTTCTGCATGTAATATATGCAATGTAAATATTTATCCAATTTCCTGTACGTATAAAAAAAAAATAGATGCAAATAATAGAAAATATTTTTCTGTACTTTGCACTCCGAGACTTTATGGAAAATTGTGCTACTCTGATTTGTACCCAGGTTTATTCTTATAAAAATAGATCTCCGCGTAAAAATAAATCTGACATGCCCAATGTTTAATATCATAGCACTTTAACTTAATCTATTATATTTCGTGCACGGGCGCGGAACATGTTTATTATTATATATTACTCATCTTAATAAAGTGAATTTTTTTTTTTTTACGAGTATTTTATTCTTCATAAATATATATGCATATATGAAATATCTATATGTAACATAAATTTTTTAAGATATAGCTTTTAATTAAACTGTAATGTCAAATGTTATTCAAGTATTTTCGCAAAAAATTGTATTTAGTTCATTGAATAATCATTTGATTCGTCAATTCGTCGATTATTAAAATTATTATGGCGCGAGAAACTCTGTTGGTACATTTGACAAGTTAGAAAACAGATTCAACGCTATCTAGTGGTAGCCTACTAATAGACGATGAGAACAGTATGAGAATAAAAAAAGTCGTAAACTCTTCGAAAAAGACGGAATAGTGAGGTGGAGAGAGGCCGAGAGTTGATACGGAATAGCAAATACGAATCGAGCCGGAGTTTCGTCGAACAATGCGTTGAATCGTCCTTTTTGTACGACAAATTATTACGCTTCGTTATACATACGAATGGATGCGAGATTGGCGAAACGTCACAGTGACATTCGCGCGAATTTACAGTGAGTGTTTTTGCTATTTTACATCGCTTTGTGATTTGTACGATTTGACGTACCTCGGATTCTGTATTTTCAACGCTGCGTATTAATTAAATAGCTGACTTGCGTAATTATCCAGGATATAATTTGTGCCGCGAGATACTTTTCCAAACTGACGTTTATGATAAATGTTACGTTACACGGTCTATAAACTGTGCTACCAGTTTAATTAAGGATTCCTGTTCAATGTATCTAATTAATTATACGTAATATATACATTTATATATCTGTTAGATAAGACATTTTATTTACATAAATATCAGTTATTCAATGACGTAACATACATAGGGTGAAATAAATAACTCTCTTTTTGTTTTTATTCTTATGAAGAATGGATGTCAGTTTCTGTCTACAGTGCTTTATGTTGATATTATTTCATAAAGCTAATAAATTGCAGATGTAATTATACCGTGGTGATATTCAACATATAAGTGCTGCCTGAGGAGGAGGCAAAAATCAGCAACATGACTGAAGGTTGGTTATTCAAGTGTTCTATACAATAATAAATTCCGAAACTAATGAATTTATGGATTTACCACAGGTGCAGAGACCCAACCGAATGCGGGAAATGAGCCCCAAACAGGTAAGTTACTGTTTTATTGATGATTTGTATATGTACACACAATTGGATACTAAGCCCGATATAATTGAGTTAGTGTTTGTTATAGATATCTATGTTATGTTATATAATAGAGGGGCTTCAATTTTTAATCTATTTTTTGTTATGTGATACTATCGTTTTATTATACTGGGGAGATATCTTTATACTAGATAATCATTTATCACAAATATTAACATATAATTAGATATAATATTTAATAGTCTTTTAAAATTAACACAATTTATATTTAGATGTAGAAGAAATTAAAAAAATGTTTTGTATATTTTTTAAGTATTACAGTATATTAAAGTAGCTTAAAATACATAGTTAGATGCAAATAATAGAAAATATTTTTCTGTACTTTGCACTCCGAGACTTTATGGAAAATTGTGCTACTCTGATTTGTACCCAGGTTTATTCTTATAAAAATAGATCTCCGCGTAAAAATAAATCTGACATGCCCAATGTTTAATATCATAGCACTTTAACTTAATCTATTATATTTCGTGCACGGGCGCGGAACATGTTTATTATTATATATTACTCATCTTAATAAAGTGAATTTTTTTTTTTTTACGAGTATTTTATTCTTCATAAATATATATGCATATATGAAATATCTATATGTAACATAAATTTTTTAAGATATAGCTTTTAATTAAACTGTAATGTCAAATGTTATTCAAGTATTTTCGCAAAAAATTGTATTTAGTTCATTGAATAATCATTTGATTCGTCAATTCGTCGATTATTAAAATTATTATGGCGCGAGAAACTCTGTTGGTACATTTGACAAGTTAGAAAACAGATTCAACGCTATCTAGTGGTAGCCTACTAATAGACGATGAGAACAGTATGAGAATAAAAAAAGTCGTAAACTCTTCGAAAAAGACGGAATAGTGAGGTGGAGAGAGGCCGAGAGTTGATACGGAATAGCAAATACGAATCGAGCCGGAGTTTCGTCGAACAATGCGTTGAATCGTCCTTTTTGTACGACAAATTATTACGCTTCGTTATACATACGAATGGATGCGAGATTGGCGAAACGTCACAGTGACATTCGCGCGAATTTACAGTGAGTGTTTTTGCTATTTTACATCGCTTTGTGATTTGTACGATTTGACGTACCTCGGATTCTGTATTTTCAACGCTGCGTATTAATTAAATAGCTGACTTGCGTAATTATCCAGGATATAATTTGTGCCGCGATATACTTTTCCAAACTGACGTTTATGATAAATGTTACGTTACACGGTCTATAAACTGTGCTACCAGTTTAATTAAGGATTCCTGTTCAATGTATCTAATTAATTATACGTAATATATACATTTATATATCTGTTAGATAAGACATTTTATTTACATAAATATCAGTTATTCAATGACGTAACATACATAGGGTGAAATAAATAACTCTCTTTTTGTTTTTATTCTTATGAAGAATGGATGTCAGTTTCTGTCTACAGTGCTTTATGTTGATATTATTTCATAAAGCTAATAAATTGCAGATGTAATTATACCGTGGTGATATTCAACATATAAGTGCTGCCTGAGGAGGAGGCAAAAATCAGCAACATGACTGAAGGTTGGTTATTCAAGTGTTCTATACAATAATAAATTCCGAAACTAATGAATTTATGGATTTACCACAGGTGCAGAGACCCAACCGAATGCGGGAAATGAGCCCCAAACAGGTAAGTTACTGTTTTATTGATGATTTGTATATGTACACACAATTGGATACTAAGCCCGATATAATTGAGTTAGTGTTTGTTATAGATATCTATGTTATGTTATATAATAGAGGGGCTTCAATTTTTAATCTATTTTTTGTTATGTGATACTATCGTTTTATTATACTGGGGAGATATCTTTATACTAGATAATCATTTATCACAAATATTAACATATAATTAGATATAATATTTAATAGTCTTTTAAAATTAACACAATTTATATTTAGATGTAGAAGAAATTAAAAAAATGTTTTGTATATTTTTTAAGTATTACAGTATATTAAAGTAGCTTAAAATACATAGTGAAAGTGGATTTACAAATAAGTAGAAACATTCAGGAACATATATTGTTCTTTTGCAGAAGCCTTAGAACCAAGGGCAACACACAGCGAAGGATTACATGAGGGAGTAGGGGAATCAACATCGCAAACCATTCTTGAACCTATGCAAGAGCTTCTTACAGTTCATGGAACTACGCAAGGAGAAAGCAGCGATGCTGTCAGCATTTATACTGCAAGTACCTCGGTATCTGGTAATGGTAAGTTTTTAGATTTTAACAATAATATCAAAATACATATACATACATATACATATATGAATAATTACATGATTTTTTTAGAATCAAGTTCGAGTAGAGTTAGTGCAATAACTGTTGTGTTACCTTGGGGTGCTCAGAAAGAGACAGTAAAGCCACAGCAAATAGGAGACATGGATCTAAGACCTGGAGAATATGTGATGCGTATTCTGTTCGCGGAATTTACTTCACAGGCGGAAAAGAAAATGGAAGCTGTTATGACAGAACATGTAAGTGATCATTGAAACAATTGTTAACATAACACTATTTGAATACTTAATTTCCAGGAAAAACAATTATCGAAAGTGTTGCAAAGGGGAGAAGATGCACAATTTGATCAACTTTTATCGGCTTTCGGTTCCGTTGCCGAGCACTGTTTGCCGTCAATATTGAAAGCACTCTTCAATTGGTATGAACGTCAACTTGTAGATCAAGGCGGTGATCATAAAAAACCTGCTCCTGGGAAGGAAGACCAAAAAGGAAAAAGGTAGGAAAATTAAAAAAAGGGTATATCTTACAAGTATATATTAATAACAAATACATCACATTTCAGCATTATGTATACAATAGTATCGGGAAGTGTAGAAACAGTTGAAAGAAGTGAAGCAGATCTCTTGCAAGAGCGTAGAGACCTTGCTGTTGAATTTATATTTTGTTTAATGCTGATTGAGGTTTTACGCCAATTACCATTTCATCCTGGGCATGAAGATTTAGTAACTTATATCGAAAATATTGCTTTTAAACACTTCAAATACAGAGAAGGCATACAAAACGAACCAAATGCAGCTAATATTCATATTATTGCTGATCTTTATGCCGAAGTAATCGGAGTTCTGGCGCAATCCAGATTTATGTCAGTGAGAAAACGTTTTATGGTGGAACTGAAAGAATTACGAGCTAAAGAGCCAGGTCCTCATACTACACAGAGTATTATTTCCCTATTGATGGGGATGAAATTTTTCCGAGTCAAAATGGTACCAATAGAGGAGTTTGAGGCATCATTCCAATTTATGCAAGAATGCGCTCAATACTTTTTAGAAGTGAAAGACAAAGATGTTAAACATGCTTTAGCTGGTCTTTTCGTTGAAATACTCGTTCCAGTTGCTGCTGCTGTGAAAAACGAAGTGAATGTACCATGTCTGAAAAACTTTGTGGAGATGTTGTATTCGACAACATTAGACATGTGTACGAAGTCCAAGCACAGACTAGCACTTTTTCCATTAGTAACTTGCTTGCTCTGCGTCAGTCAGAAAACGTTCTTTTTACAAAATTGGCATTACTTTTTAGCTATGTGTTTGTCTCACTTGAAGAATCGTGATCCAAAAATGTGTCGCGTTGCATTAGGTACAATTAAAAATTGTATATGTATTATTTTCCTAAAAAAGAGAGATGAAAAAGAAAAATACATATATTTTTTGTATTCATTATATTACAGAGGCATTATATCGTCTACTCTGGGTTTACATGATACGAATAAAGTGCGAGAGCAATTCGGCTACGCAAAGCAGACTGCAGAGCATAGTGAATTCTCTATTTCCTAAAGGATCAAAGGCGGTAGTACCGCGAGATACTCCGCTGAATATTTTTGTGAAGATTATTCAGTTTATTGCGCAAGAGAGACTGGATTTTGCGATGCGTGAAATAGTGTTTGACTTGTTATCTGTCGGACGACCGGTAAAAATAATTTTAACTCCCGAACGTATGAGTATTGGACTTCGAGCATTCCTCGTTGTAGCCGATAGCTTGCAGCAGAAGGATGGAGAACCGCCAATGCCGCGCACTATGGGTGTACTGCCAAGTGGAAACACCATGCGTGTTAAGAAGACATTCTTAAATAAGGTATATATATGTAATATATTGTGATATATGTAATATTTATACATTTATTAAACATGCCATAGTTGCAATTTAATATGCTTTTATAATTTAGATGCTGACAGAAGATACTGCACGAAGCATAGGAATGTCTTCGTATTTCCCACATGTACGCCGTGTCTTTGTCGATATCTTGCGCGCGTTAGATGTTCACTATGGCAGGCCTCTCATGATGACCAGTACTCAAAATATGAACAAGGAACCGGATGAGATGATCACCGGGGAGCGCAAGCCGCGAATAGATCTCTTCCGAACTTGCGTTGCCGCTGTTCCGCGACTGATTCCTGATGGAATGACTGGTGCAGAATTAGTTGATTTACTGTCTCGTTTGACAGTACACATGGACGAGGAATTACGTGCATTGGCATATCAAAGTTTGCAAACCCTAGTATTAGATTTTCCTGATTGGCGACAGGATGTCGTACTCGGGTTTACGCAGTTCCTAGCTAGGGACGTGCAAGATACATTCCCGCAACTCGTCGACAACGGCTCGAGAATGCTGTTGCAACTGCTGACCAGTTGGAAGAACGCTCTGACGAGTCCCAGTATAAGGTCTAAGGAACAATCGGTAGATAATACACGGGTGAATATACGAGTAGATGTTGGCATCAAGAAGTGCGAATCAGGCCAGGTTTGCACTAATTTTTATTTTTTTTTTTTTTAGCATTTGTAAAAAAAAACGTGCATAAAATACATACCAATGTTATTTCTTGTTTACACAGAAAGTAGAACCTGTGTCAAATATATTCTATCTGGTAGAAGGATTTGCGTTGGTTATGCTCTGCAATTGTCGCCTTTATCCTCGAAGATTGGCTGTTCATATTCTTCGCGAAGTTAAGCTTTTAATGAAGACTTTAGGTAACTATATTTATCCAAATTAAATCTACAAAATGTGTTGCAATGTAAGTATATATCTTATAAACATATCATCCTCAGGAGGACCTGAAGATGATCAGTCTGTTATTGATGTGATTGATGCTTGCTGTCCCATTGTCTTGGAAAAATGTTATCCTATGTTACCACCAGCTGAAAAAGCAGCCGCCGCATCTACGTCTAATGTGGATTTACAATGGATAGCAGACAGGAGTAGTTGTGTTTGGACAGCTGGTAGTGTTTCATTTACCATTTTAATATATATAGACTATATACAGAGTGTCCTAGAATTGATAGTAGAAAAAAAGAGGAATATTTTACAGATCAAAATAAAGTAAAATTGTTCTATGAACATTTGTCCAGAAACGCACCCTCTCTGAGTTACAGCCCCCCAAAATTTCCCGAAAAAACTCAAATTTTCGATATATTGTCTAAATTTGAGCTTTGAATTTTACGAAAGTGGTACATATATGTATCTTTGTGCGTTTTATTCATTTTTGGTGTCAAAAATTGTATACAATATACAAAAAATTCGAGTTTTTTCGAGAAACTTTGGGAGGCTGTAACTCAGAAGGAGTGCGTTTCTGAACACATGTTTATAGGACAATTTTATCTTATTTTGACCTGTAGAATATGCCTCCTTTTTTCTACTATCAATTCTGGGACACCCTATAGGGATATATA